TGTTAAAAACTCTATGTCTTGCCGCCCAGATATCCTCTTCAGATATGTCGAGAACAAATAAAGACGCAATGATTTAAACGAAAATATGATTTATTTCTACAATAACGGGCGCGTTCATGCGTCTCACAATATTTATTAATGAAAATAAATACATTGACGATGCACGGTCGACGTTTTACACCGCCATATACACGTATCTAAGTGGACATCTAAAAATAGATCAGTGTTCACAGTTTGAAATTTAATGACATCTCGAAACAATATTGATAATAAAAATAAGTTTAAAGATTTAGCGACAACAACAACATTCATTTTGTAATATACAAAAGATGTAATGTGAGGTAATGACATGGTACACATGTGGCTGCGGTACGTAACGTCGGTTGCTCCATTCCTAACTGGACTACGATAACAGTAAGTGGCAACGTAACACAAAGTTGTTGGTTATTTTAATTAAACAATTGGTAACAATTCAAGTTTTTTTATTCGAAAAAATTACAGCAACAATAAATCTATAAAAAATAAAATTGCATAAGTGTCGTTAGTTTGGTCGACAAATAAAAATTCATTTTTCGATTAATTCAGTTAAAATGGTAGCAACCTTACAAAAATAAGAGCCTTGAATGGCAGAACTTAACGAGTGTACTTAGGTATTACAATTCATAAAAACATAAAGCGGTCACTGAACATAGTTGCGAGGGTTGCGTTCCAATGGTGGCGCGAAGAATGCGCTAGACCTTGCCAATAGGACTATAGTACGTCCCACGCATGGGCCTAAAGGCTCACCTTCAACCCTGCCCACGGCCTCTACACCAGTTAAGCAATATTAACACATAAATAGCTATACATCTATGGTATCAGATAGATTAAATTTATTAACAGCAAATGCAACATTGCATTGGTATTTGCCAGCCCCACATTTTCAGATTCAACAATAACCATCTAAAATTGAATGAAAACTGTATACCTCGCCCTAGCTATATGTACAATCAATAAAACTAACACGGCTCGCAAAATAAAGTTAGGTGCAAAGTAATCGATTAGGTACTTAAAGATTTACACCTACTATAAAATTTTCAGGCGGAGGCCTGTCGATTCGCTCAAATTCACGTTCTCACACGATCTTAATTGATAGAATACTATACACAGACTAAATTAAACAACATCGACTGAGATTAAACCTAACTTACCGTTAATGAACAACAAAGTGGTTAACTTACAAATAGTAACGCGTTCGTCGACGCGCGCCACTTAGCGTTTAGTTTGGAATGTGAGTGTGACGCGTTTGATCCTATCCTTCGATCCTTGAACTACGTCAAATGAAGCATGTGTGATGATGATTAATACGAAAAGTTTACCCCGATCAAGAGTCGAGACCCGAGGCCGCCCCGTAAGTTGCACCAAGCGTACTGCGCGAGCGAATCTGAGCGAAGAAACAGTGCCCGAACGCTGGAAGCGGCCGCTCGCCGCCGCGCAGTTTATCCGACTACTTATTCTCGCTTAACATCTAATTGAACTCAAAATGTACATTTATATAGAACACTCACGTGTACCTTAATAGTTTAAAATACTTAAATTTTAAATTCATAAATATAGATATTACTTACAAGAAAACTACATACAACATTACGCTGTACTTTACAACCTAATCTTAGACGTAAATAGTGGGTTTAATGTTACAAGCATAATTTTTAACTCTATTCAATTAAATATAATTGTCGAACGGAAGTGAAGCGAAACGATATAAAAGTGAAGCAGCGATCAAACTGTTTAAAAATAAAATTAGTAACATGAACGCTGGCACCACGATAACCGTTATTGTCTAAGTTTCTTTTGTTAAGATAAAGAAAATGCCGTGGCATGTCGACCCGAATCGAATTGAATTAATACGAACGATCAGATAGGTGTTGTTTAAAATAGAACTCTGAGCATTTCTAGGTCAGTATAATTTACCAAGCAAGTCACTTTTGCAAGAAAGGTAGCACTGTATATGTAAAGGTACCCTTTCCAAACATTGAACTGGACTGTGTAGGGACTGTGGACTGCTCTGTACCTCCCCCGACCGTCGCAGTTACAGCCCAGTACAATCAATTATAAAATAGCACACGACATTGTAACTTCTATTTTGATCACCGCTATGAGTTTACAGACAAAATCACTAATATAATGTATGTAGTACATATTTATATATATGTGATTCATACGAGTTCATATTATGTCAAATAATAAAAATAAATGAAAAATTCTAATGTGTGTCTTCGATATTCATGCATTGAATAAATAATATACGAAGTTAATGTAATAAAAGTTATCATAATAAAATTGCAAAATTTAAACGAAACATGTTTTTAATACACATAAATGTACTAAAAAATATTAGTGTCAGGTGATTAAAGTAATTACTTTCGAGGCAAATTTAGACTCCTTGTATTATATATGATGTTAATTAATACTGTATAAATTAAAAATAATAAATAAAATAGTTCTGGTGTACATAAATACTGTAAAATGGTAACAAACGTTTGGCATATTATATTCGGTAAAACATTAAAAGGAAATTAAGCTACAGGGAATTTGGAAAGAATGACGCTATTCTTGCGAACGAAAATAAAAATTTCCAAATAGGTGCATATTAGGTCAATTTTAAAACATGTTGTGGATAAAATAGGACGATTTCAAAAGATCTTCGCAATCTGTCGTGCTTCGTGCCTCTAAAGCTAAGATGAAACCCACACAGTCTAATGTACCTAACTATTTCATACCATCACAGACCAGCTTTGCCTTCGATAAAGCATCTACGAGTGTGAAGTTGCGATAGACTTTGAATGTATAGTTTACCGCTAGAGTAATATTTGTAGTAAATTGTATTCTATTAGTATTTAAATACAAAATTTTCGGAGTGGGTTCATATCGCAGCTTCACAGTAAAATGCACTAATTATTTCTATTTTAGATAAAAAGAGAAGTACAGAAGTGTGGTTCCTAATAAAGAACTAGCCAATGTATTTATTTGTGTAGAGAACGTGCGCGTGCTAGTCGATGTGATGAAAAGTCTTAACACGTTCTAGAAACAAATTTCGTAAAATAACGTTACGGAGGCACAACTGATTACAATTTGTTCTCATATAAAATTAGTTGTTCTTCAGGCAAACTGAATGTATCATGTATAATCTATAAAACATACCACAACATTGTTTCCAGGAACTTTATCAAAGTTGATATTTACATAAATCCGTATTTTAATTATACGCCAGGTACTTATTTTATATACTATTGTTAAAACGATAAAAAATTAAAAAGAAACTCGTAGCTGTTAAACAATTTGCATTCACAATCCGCTCGCCCGAGTTGTACATAATTTTATGACGTAAATTTTAGAACCTAACGTTTTGTTTTCGTCAAGACGACAAAAGTTTTGTTCACTGGACGGTATTATAGACAAAAACACGGTGCCATAACTTATGTATTACGTTTAACAAGCCTACATAGAAAAGAGCCTTGAAGCCAAATTAAAAGAAAAATCTTTATTTATAACAATATCTACCATACTTACTCGTTGATGCGGCTTACTATAACATTTGCACTTGGTGCAACGACACTATGATAATTAAAATTTAAAAATATATAAACATTCACTTTGAAACACAAACCATTAATCACATTTTCGATTAACTAAAATCTTTTCGTTACGTACACAAGTGTACATTATAGCCCCTTAAAAAGTTCCTGTCCTACGCGTAGAGGGTCTCTCCTGCCATAAAACTGGCGCAAAAATTGCCGAAAAACGAAGCAAACAAAATAAATTGCGCAACGCATAGGTAGGCTTGTGTCACACGACCGACATTGTTATTAATTACATTAATATATTTTATATAACCATTTCCACAATAAAAGTTGATCATTACACTTGTTTACGTACGCTACTATATTTATATTAGAAAAATACGAAATCATGTACTTTCAGTTAACATATCATATATGTTAATAAAGAACAATATGCTTTATAAAAATACATCGTCTCGCTTGGCCATTGGCCGGTAGACGCTAGTACCCATTTCTTTAAAAATCTATGATTTTTAAGGCTCTCTTGCACGTATGTTGAAAAATATTTTACATAATTACATTATATAAGTAGAATAAATCACTGTACTGTGCTAATATAATATTTACAAGGATTATAATTTTTTTTTGTACTGACACGGCCGATAAAAATATCAATGATTAATTTAATTTACAACATTAAGATAAACATCTTTAGGGAATAACTGTATTTTTAAATACATGAATTTATTTGCGAACACTTAATTTTTTACAATATACTTAAACGATCAAATTTTCAAATATCAACTTTTCATAAAATCTGAAATTGCCCCTCATAGGGGACAACTTCTGCGTCACTTCATTAGTCATCAGTGAAAACGGTACTTTGCAGTGCTTCATAGTCTTAAAGAAAAGGTAAACCGTATAGTTAATAAGTAACACGAAATCAAGGGGCGGGCGGTGCCGCATTTACTTTTACTAAGGTACTGCAATTAAACTAACATTTATACAATACGACCTCCACTATCATTACAGCGGTTTCCAAATTTCATCATTTATAATCACAGACGCTTTCCTAAATGTATATATATAATATTTTCCCTTCGCACCGGTGTTAAAATGACTCTAGTCTATTTAATGTAGATATAAACTTAATTCATTTTGAAATAACACAATATAGGCTGCTCAATAAATAAATCATAGCTACAAGAGACTGGTGTAAAACATCCTGTATATTTATGTAACACATTAGATAGATAAATATTTGTTTTATCTGTATTGGGACTAGGCACGCGCGGCGCTTCGGCCGGCGCTCGGTGCAATAACTTATTATAATTAATCACACACCAAGTTACAAACTAAAACTAAGAGATAAGTAATATTTGTAAAATATTTTATCTGATGTAGTTGTCAGGAGCGCTTGGCGCATCTTCTCTCTCCACCTTAAACGTCACTGAGAGTTCAAGATCTGTGAACAGAAACCATTCATGTTACAAAGTTTTGACCACTTATTTTTAATGTCAGTTGTTGTGAAGGGAAAGTTGTGTTGAAAACGGACAAATGGACTGTGACCTTTGAGGGTACTGTAGGGATAAGCAACTTTTCACCCTTCAATTTTGATCTCTATTTTACTTATCTCATTCCTTCTAATATTATTTATATGTATGAAATACCAGAATGGCTGTATCAGTACATAAAATAATTTTAAGGTTATTAAAGCATATTAAATTAAGTATTAAGCTAAGTTGACTTGTATTATAAATAGTTGTCTAATACAATATAGTAAGTGCGAGTTTACATACAGTTCTATTAATTTTTCTTAATTATTAGGCAATTTTTATGAGATGAACAATTTGATCTATTGATTTTTTTTTTCATGACTTAATATATTACATCAGAGAAGCAGCATGAAAGCCATGAAAGCATAAAGTAGTTCTTATATTGCGTGTGTTCCGAAATAGAACCCAGTATTTGCCCAATATTTATTTTTTATATATTGGTTATATTGCCCAATGCAAATGACGTCATAAATCGACCAGTATATGACATGACATCATACATTTGCGCCATATTGGAAAAGTGTTGGCGATTATTTTATGTCATTTTGTGCTCCAAAAGTTATAATATTCTGTTTCAATTAATTTGTGAATAATGGAGATACCAGCAATAATTTTATAATTTTTTGTATTTGAATAAAAAAAACAATTTCGGGCATGCTTCATTCAGCGTACATATAATTAAAAAAAATTGTTTTAATATGCGTAATGATATCCGACACAATATGGCGGCGGCAGGTCAGTACAATATGGCGTTAATTAATGACGCCAATTGCATTCGCCAGTATACTGGAAACATTTCGGAACACAGCAATTATGTCACATATGATGATTTGTTTGTATATAACTATATAAAAACCTTAAATATTTACACCACATTCATAGCAAATAAAGCTCAGTAACGTTAGAAAATATCAAATAATGTGAGAAAATAAAACGGATCCGCAATGTCGCTTATGCGATTATGGATCCGTTTTATTTTCTCACATTAGTGAAATGTATAGAACGTTTGGTCTAATGTGGTGAATTCATATTCATTAATCAAGAAATATGCTATATAGGTTCAACATATTTACTTAATCTAAGAAGTTGCTCTGAATCTTGGTATTGAATTAAATTTTGTAATACATTGATAAAAAATTAGATCAAATTCAATACATCAGGAAAACGTAATGAACATCAAAGTATCGTATAACTAACTCATTTGGAATATGTTTATTGGTTTGCGTAACAGAATGTGTATATATTGTAGTAGTGTATAGTATTAAGACCCACAAAATGAAAACTACATCTGAGGGACAAAGTTTTAATCTCGCGTTTCAACAATGTTAAGCAACAAAAAATTGATTACTATTTTCATGCTTCTTAAACTGATTGATTCATAATTTTTGATTATCTTAGTATGTATATTTATTTGTACACAATTATTTCCTAATGTAAAGTTATTGCATATATTTTTATAGCAATAATGACGTTAATTTTATAATAAAACATAAGCTCTCTATTGTGTTGTCTAATTTACTAAATTTAACGTACACAATGAAGTAAGTTTTGTACTTCAGAGTACATATATATAACATATATAATATTATCATTGGATCTGTAATTTGTCAGATTACAAGGTAATCTTTTGTAAAAAAAATCGGGACTATAGGGGTTCTTAGGCAGTACTCTATAATACGACAAATTCAATAATAGTTCGACACTGCCCTGCAAAATGTTTGTCGGAATACCGGGGGTCCACAGTAAAGAGTCATTTAATTGGGCCAAACAGAGCTATCTAAAAAGTCCCATCAGAGGAGAAGCAGATTGTAGCGCCACGCCATCTTCTCTGTTGTAATTTGGTTGCTTTTAATTTCAATAGCCTCGGGAATATTTCTTGGTAGGAGTAAGTGTTCTGTGGCGAGAATTTATAGTTTATCAAAATCTAAAGTCAGAAACGATGCAGTGCAATAAAGCAAACGTCGGGGATAACAGTTAAATTAAAATATATCGCTATAAAAACCGGAAAATTATTTTTATTAAATGTGTAATATTCACGTAAATATAGGATAATTGTGTTATCTTCATTCAGCTTAACTAAAGTATGCCTTTGCAGTTGGTTCTTCACCGCTGAAGAAGCTCACGATCGCTAGGCGAGCTGTCGGTTATGCTCAGAGTAGAGATTTGGATTGGGACTATGTTTTTATTTTTTTATAGGATAGGGCGACAAACGAGCACACAGTCCACCTGATGGTAAGTGGTTGCTGCGGCCCATAGACATCTACATCTAGCCTCGATTACGAATTAAAATGCAGATGCGTTGTCACCCGTGAGGACTAAGATGGAATGCCTCGTTTCCAGTAAAAAAGGGTCTCCGGTTCTCTACACTCACCAAACGAAACACAGCGGCATTAAGCTACTATTTTACGCTGGTATTCTGTGAGAGCGTGGTCCTGGATGCCATGGGGCCGACCCATTGGTGGTACAACTATACTTCTAATATAACTGCAGCATGGCTCTACCACGTATTATCCGCAGTAGAATCAGACTAACCTACATAGCCTAACTGATCAGTAAGCTAAAGTGGTAATAAGCCAGCCATATAGCTCGAAAAACCGATAACCGATGGAAAAGAAAAGTTCTCATGTAGCTCTAGCAGCCACGTTATACCTAGAAGAGCTATATGGCCTCCCTATTGCCACTTCAGTTTGTTGATCTTTGTATTCCCAAGTAACCGAAATTTATAATAATGTTTTCAACTGCTATTTTAGACCTAGTTGTGCCCATCTGGATATTACGAAAGTACTCATATAACCCATTTAGTAAATTGCATCAAAAGAAACTGCTGCAAACGTAAATTTGGTAAAGCTTTCTATATACATACATCCGTAACAGAGACCTCTTTTCATTTCTGAGAGGGTTTTAAGACAAGGAAATGTACGCCGCGCTGCCCCAATGCGTGTTGGCTAACTTCACATGTCTTCGAAATATATTTTTTTCTTATATCTCAGACATGCATGTTTTCGTGCCGGCGGGGTTCAGAACCGGGTTTCTCGTATACTGTGCATTATGTACACAAATTTACAGCAACCGCTTATCCCTTGAGCTACCACGGCTCAAACTGCAACGAGCTACCACGCTGCAAATATAATACTTAAGACGACACATCGAAAAGGCTATCGCCGTACTGATCCGAGTGAATACATAATTTCTATAAAAACTTGTAAAAACGCCGTCATAAGGTCTAAAATTGCGTAGCGCCCGCGACGATTAAAAGCGCTTATATTTTATTGATTTAAGTAATCAAAATAATGAGCAAATAAATTATGGATATTGATGTTATGAATATATTTGAGTGATTCCCAAGCATATAGATTAAGTAATTTCGTTGTAATTTCAACTATAGTGATTTTTTAGAGGTGTTTTCGCAAATAATTATGATCGAGTCAAAATTGTACAATCGTGTTTTTGAACAATCAAATTCAAGATAAAGACAAGAATTTACCTATATCAAAATTCCACTTTCGTTAGTGGTATCATAGTCCTATACTATTCGATGAAAGGAGGTGCATTTTTTCACGGTGTCGCCTTAATAAAAATTTGTACATTGATCTATAAAGCGTTGTAGAACGAGCCGATATTTACTGAGCGTCGGTAAACGACATAAAAAAAGTAAAAGTATTGACCTTGGTTAAATCTGTTAACGCGCTGACGTTAAAGTGGATTTCAAAAGGTTCAAAATAGTGAAACATAAACGGTTAAATAATTAAAACAATACAATGGTATTTTCCGGCATTTTTTTATGCTTATAAAACAAAAGTTAAATCAAACGTATATATATAAGTTTTCTTATGGGTAGTTTGTGTAGTTCTTAAAAACTTTACAAAAATATGAAATAATTTTTGGGACTACCATCATTTGAAATACAGAGTTGCGAAAGTGTAACCTCATATTTTAAGTCATATTGATTTGTCTAGGAAGCAGTCTTAGCCTAAAAGCAAATATTTCTAGATGCACAAATATGGTTTCCTGCTTTCGATACTGATGATTAAGTCAGATAGGCTTTTAGATTTAAAAAAAAATACATAAAAACCAGAAATTAAGAAAATATGTTTTATTTAATGATTTTAAATACATATAATAGATTTCATTACAACACGAATAAGTTTTTTGGTTACTGAAAAAATGAAAAACTTTATTATAAAAGAAATCAATATTTTTTTAAATAAAGTTTTAAACGTCTTACATTAAGCTCAGGCTCATGACCGTGTTTAGTGGTGTTCCTTCGGAGGCATATAATATGTTTAGCGTAGAATTGTGAAGAGCTGTGATGATGATGAACTTCTAATTATCATTTTGTAACCATAATTTTTAGCACAGTAAGGTGCTATTAGTGTCATTCATTAGAAATGAGCAGCTACCATCTTTTGATTTTTAGAACTTTTATTGTGTTTTCATATTAATTGTATATTTCTTTATATAATATTTGACGACGTAAAAAAAGTTTGAGTGTAATGCTCGACAAATTGAAAACATTTGTGCATTTCTTAAATATTTCGTATGAAACTGTTTTCAAAGCTTAGTTACTTTAAAAATCACTAACTATCGCACTCAGAAAAGTTCAGTTTAAATTAATCTTAATGAATTATTTTAAGTAAATCCGTGAACAACCACTACATCCCAGATAAATAATTCAGGGGCTTGTTGTTTAATGACAAATAAGTATTCATAGGGTGACACAACGTCAAATCACACTTTGGATTGCACATTCATTTTTTATAGAATAAAGGAATCACAAACACAGTGGCCCATATACATCTACACCTATCCTATAATATAATAAAAGACTAACTACATTTTACTCAGTATTATCGTTTCGAAAACACATGCAAAAATCCTTATGTACTTAATCACATAAAAGATTATTTTATCGTTATATCACTGTATTTTACAAGAAAAGTCAAAATTAGGGCAAAGAACTTCTTCATAAAAACCGATTTAACCAATAGCACAGTAAGTATTATCATAGTTAGTTTGTCATTTGGTTTCTGCCTCGAGGAAAATGCCAAATTTCAAGTAAACTGGGCATGTAGTTTTGGAGATCTCGTGATGAGTGAATCAAAACACAGATGCGTTGTCACCCCCGAGGACTAAGATGGAATTACTCGTTTCCAGCAGAAAGCTTCCCCAATTCTCTACACTCACAGCACTAAGCTGATATTCTGTGAGAGCTTGGCCCCTTAATGGTACAACCTATTCGTGCTACAACCAGAGATAAAGCGTTGGTGTAGCCACACTTAAAATAGTGTATGTTAAATCTTAATATATATAAATTACGTGTCACGTTGTTTGTCCGCGATGGACTCCTAAACTACTTAACCGATTTTAATCAAATTTGCACACCGTGTGCAGTTTGGTCCAACTTGAGAGATAGGATTTTTTTTCCATGATAAAGGATCGTCGAAAAGGGCAGAACAACGAATGCCTGGCAAGCTAGTATTTTTATATAAACACATTGAACATTATTCTTCATGGTAATGTTAATCACATTCAGTACAAGTACTTGTAACTACTTTTGGAATCTACTACTTTTTAATATAAGGCTAAAAAAATAACCATCTTAAATTAAAAGTAAACAAAAGCAATTACGCCCTTTTTCTATGATTTCACTTAAAATTTTACGCCACAGATAAAATCTTAACTATCTTTGTCAAATCACATATTTACTAACCGTTAATTTTAAATCACATTCAAGTCTGTTATTTCGCCCGGTACTAAAGTAACTTTCGTTATTAAAAATTGTAATTTGAATATTTATTATAATATCTATTATCACAATATCTTATAACTTAACATAGTTGTAAATCTATATCGTGCATTGAATTCTTGAACGTTTTTCGTGAAGGGATCAGAATAATTTTACAAATAGGTACTGCCTCAGTCCCACTTCTCTATACATTCTAGCCTAGTCCTCAAACTCAATAAAGTCTACCCCAGATCAGTAATTTTTACTTTTTGCCAATTGATTGGCAAAAAAAGAAATGTTACTTCAAATGTACACGACAAAATAAATCTTTTAAAAAGTTGCTTCTTTTAAAAAGTTCTTGTAAAAATTTTGCTGTTTCAACTTTTACTGTCTTTACGGTACGCAAATGGACTGTTAACTGAATCCGAGAGTGAACTTTTTTTAAATCTATAATAACGAGCGACTTATGTAACCTTTAGTGGTTGTAAAATTGCGCCTACCTTAAACGCTTAAGCAAATTTTCTACTACAGTAAATGTGTTTTTTTTTAAAGATAGCATCCAATATTGTAAAGTAAATGATAAAATATACAGCAAAACGATCAAACCGCATTGCTTTATATAGGTGGGTTTAATATGGTTAAATTCTTTGTACGGTTGTGTGCGAACTAAGTGCTGATCGACAGTGCGTGTGCGTGCTGGCATAAGCGAATTTGAGGCACAACAAAGTATATGCTTACTCTATATGGGCGAATGCGGCTCAATCGTGTCACTTGGCAGGAAACCGCACCTGACACACACAGAGCATTATCTTGTAATAATTTTACACCGCTGTAACGGCGCAGTGAGTAACGCCGCTCTATTAACACCTTGCTCCACTTGTCATTAAAGAGTTATTTAGACTTATATGTCGCATAAGGAAGTGCTTTGTGGATGTTTTTATTTACATTTGAGTGGTATTGGAAAGTTTTCATTTTAAGAGCCAATAATAGATAGCTTGTTTAACAAAACGTTTAATTAATAGGATATGTTAGGGGGTGAGTGTAGTTAAACTCCGTCAGCTTTCATAAAAGCTTCTAACTTGGAATACTTACAATTAATAAAACATTAAGAGCACACTTGTTTTAGGTCAATTGTCCAGCACTAGAGTGAATTGGGTCAATAAAGTGTATTAGTGGCACAGTATTTGACATAACGCAACACATTACAAGATTAAAATTTGGCCCAAGACCAACTCAATGAAACCAAGGCGTTGCGTCGTATAAAACGGAAAAGATGTCACGGCTTAAAACGAAATTTAACTCATTCACAAATGATTTCGGTTTGATTTTTACTTGTATATACGCTCAAGAACAAGTGAATAGCGTTATTTTTTTACTGTAAAAGGTTATGATCTTAAACAAAAAGGAACATTATCGTCATCCTAAAAACCTAGGCTATGTTGTAGCAAATACTACTGTTCTATGTATTTCGTCGAATTATTTTAGTTACTTGAAATTTAGGTTTTTCAACTAACTTTCTTAATAATATTATACAAGTAATTGACTTCCGATATATTTCAAAAAGTTTTTGCAATTGTTTTTTGAAAATTATATTGTTATCGGTTTTCCTACATAATTATTTTATTAAATAGTGAAAATATAATTTATGTTAAACATAAACAGTAATTGATCATAATTATTATAATCAAACATTAGGACAAGCACTGTTGATTTTTTTTAATAATAAATAAACATGTCATGTTTATATCGTTCAGCAATGATTACCTTTTTTCGTCTGTAATCTTATTTTAACTCTACGCTTAATTTTAAAGTTGATTTAAAAGCTATTTTAATAATAACTTTATATTTATTAAAATAGCTTTTAAATATTTTTTTAATTAATTTAGCACATAAATGTTTAAGTGCCTAATATGTTACATGATTTTTGATTTGTTATTTGGCAATTAGAATCAGTCACATACACTCGCACAGCATATTACTTCTGCAGCTTATGTATGAACTTTCATGTCCTATTATATAACTTACTAAATAAAAATGAATATGAATGATATTAAATTAAAATAAAGTTGAAATGTGTACAAATTATAGTAATAAAATACAATATTAAAAAGCGTTTAAATTAATATTATATGTGCAGTGAAATGCTCACACCAATGTTATTTTAAAAGCCTGGGATGAACTGTAGAGTTGCCAGTTAAAATCTACAAGAAAACTATGCAATACAACATAACTGTAAAATTGATACATTTTTAATTAATTTCTAGCAAAATTGCCATGTATTTATATAGTACAATTAACATCTATATCTTCTAGTACCTTCAACATTACAAATAGAAATTTATCTTTTTAAGATTATGGTTATGACGATAGATGTATATTACTCAAAGTGAAAAAAGGGATTTCCATTAAATAACTGGGCGATATTGAGAGACATGATCTTTGACTACAATATACAAGCACAGCAAACGAAAATTTAAATAATTTTTTTTTACACAACTTGCGCAAATTCAAATTAAGCTGGCTATATAAAAATTTACATAACGCAAATTCACTAATGAAAAGAAGTTTGCGGTTGGTGCTCGTTTTTATTACTCTATTAGTCAAATAGTGTGAAACTGGCAACTACTACTCCGTGTTAATGCGTAGCACATGAATGGTTGCATAATAAATTATGATATTCTCATATAAGATAGGGTAACGTACAATCTGTCTAGAGTCGAAGTGTGCTCAGCATTCCGGTTAACCATTTCGCCTCCGTTTGGCCTAGAATAAGACACATTACTGGATTTCTCGTATACATTGTCCCTATTTGGAGAAGAAAAAGGGAGAAAAAATATTTTTTATAAAATAAAATACATAAAAACACTTAAATATCCATTAAATTTATATGAATAAAACATCAGTGGTACGGTTTCGGTTTCATATGAGAGAAGCAAGGCAGATGTCGTTTATTCATCTTCTATAGTGACAAATACTGTAAAATTGTAGTAAATGAACATGTAATTTTATTTTAAGAACAATACAACTTGAACTCACTTGCGCTTTGCATGTAGCATTTCCATGAGGAGAGTCTGTGTAGGGGCCTGCCCGGCGCAATGTCGCTGATATAAATGTTCCTCCCCTCTGGCTGCTAGTGCGTGTATTTCTGGGACAACCATCACCAATTTCCCGAATTTATCCTGGAAAATACAAGAAGTTTGTTAATGTTAAATTTTAAGTAACAATAACTTTGAAAGCAAAGTCAAAGATTACTACACAAATTAGTAAATTAACAAACGTCACAGGCACCGCGGCGGCTTGAATAGGTTTAATAATTTGTATTGGTTATTATTAAATTATTAGTTGGTAACGAAATTATTTGAAAACATGACCCAGACAATGGCGGAAAACAAAGGAAACAATAGAACCCCAGCTAACATGATAACTTATGTTCGAACATTATGCGTTTTTAAAAGCGGCACGATATATTCAAATTTACAATTCAATGAATATTGTTAACCAGATTAGTTAGACAAATTATATCTTTACTTTGGTGCCATTCTGTTAGAGATAAAGATATGTCTGTCTGTCAATACTAGACTACTTCTATTGAAATGAAAATACTGTGGGGCCTCGTTTTCAGTCAGGTACGGCTTAATCTCTACATAATGTCTTTTCAAAGTATAGAAAAACATTTATCAGTTTAGAAATAATTTTTTAACCCGAAATACTTTATACATATTTCCAAAAGTATTTATAAATTAATAGATTTTTAGTGGTTTATAGATTTCAATGAGTTATTTATTTTATGGAAACAGAACAGTGTATTTTACCTGTATCGTTGGATAGCACGTGAGCGTGTAATCGAGGAGCGCGGCTTGCACAGTTTGATATCCATCTCGCACACACTTCACGTTCACGATGCCTCTCACCTCTGAAACCCCAAGATTACTCTTCAAAATAAATACGACATCGTCAGCCGAGCCCGTTTTCAATCACTAAGCAACCATGACATATAAATAAACAATAATCATTCGCAAGTATAGCATTTCGTACATATTCACGTAATGGGGAAGAAAATACTAACCAGGATTGAGAAGGAGCAAAAATTTGACGCATATGTAATCCGGCACGTCGAATTTCAGCTCAGCCAATTTGTTCTGGAGGTCATTGAAGTGATCAGCCAGAGACGGTACACCAAGAAGACCCAAGCAAAGAAGGTCGAATTTTTGCCCGTTGTGTAGGGTAGTCTCATCCGGTAACCCATTGTGCATCCTCTGGTGGAGGTGATCTAAGACCAACATGTCGGACCATGAGTGTTGCAGTAGCTTCATCTGGTCATCGACCTGTAACAAAGAAAAGCCGCATTGCTATATGTGCACAGGCACGTCACTGGTGTTAGAGGATGGAACGCCGCCGACTTGATTGCCGAGTAATGGAGTAATACCTCGCTTCAAAGTTATTATAATACATTCGCTTGCAAATCTAACATATGCATAGCAGCATACGAAATTGATGCATATTATTTTAAATAAGACTTTTATGCGTACTACTCCGTTACTCGATGCATTTAAATTTCACTTAGAATGTAATTACAGACGGCGTCAGTTTCGTACACTGTATGTTATTGTGTGACGTCAGTTTGGTGTGACGCAATCGGCCGTGCCGTGACGTGTCGTGGAGTGTCTCCTGTATATATGCTTAAATAGTTCTATTTTCGATTATAAGTGTCGAGTTAAACAAAACCCCTGTCTCGTTATCTACTTCAGGCCGGTATCAGACGGGCGGCGTGTGCCTCGCGCAGTGTTTCTGTGACCTACATTCTGTCGAGTTGCATTAAAATACACAGGGCGGTGTGCGCGTTAAATTCGCCGTTTACGAAATGTTACAACTAAATTTTAGAGCTCGTAGTTATTGCCACATTCCGGTTCTTGCTCAACGCCCGATCGAGATCGAACCGTCAAAATCGGACTATCAAATCTATCGGAAAGATCTTCATCTTTCAATTACATTAAATTATGCCCGATGATTCAAGTATAGAAGTAGAGTCGTGCCGTTCGTTATTACAATATCTCACTTTTTAAAAATCACGACTTTGTATTGTATAATTTCTTTACATGTAACCTTTAGTCACAGCTGGAGCGTATCTGTAAATGTTATGGCATATTGCAAATAATGAAATCGATCTTTAACTCTACAAAGGCGTCGTAAATAATGTATACTCAACATAATTTTGTTAACTGAAACAACGAAAGGTGTACGACGGGGTAAACTAAGTTGCGAAAAAGGCTTATAAAATATTGATGTCAGACTGATTTTACGGTATTCTTAACGTCTTTAAATAGGCCACAATAGGTACTATTTTATTTGCAAATACTGACAGTTATCTTTTTTATTCTATTTTACGTAACATAATTTATGAAAAATACTACGTTCTTCGTCGACGGATACACATTCTTTACCACGTGAACTTGTGATGGCTGTAATGATGGTGATGGTGACTTCGTTCTTTGAATTAAATATTTTGTATGCTTTGATTCTAAACATGTTCGTGATCGCTCCCGCGCTGCCATCCGGTAGTAATGTAGGTCAAAGTCGCGCTGGCTAGTGGGGCTTATAACTCAGGATAATACGGAGCTAACTCCGGGAGAGAAAATAATATAACTATTTAAAAACTATAAAAGAAAAATATTTTTACGTAATATCGGCGTGGAAATATACATCCTATTCAGTTATCCGCAAGTCCGCCGTCCGTGCTCTAGTAAGTAGTAGTCTAGTACCAGGAATTGTCATTTAATCTCCGTCAAGCGGATCTAACAGATCCGGCAGACCTTTATTAAAATGCGTAGTCTTAAAAACCTGAAAGCTCTTTATTACATAAGATACAATTGTAGGCTAGCCGGAATGGTACAAGTGAAATATCGAATATATATTATATAGATTATTTTGAGCGCTAAATTTACCTAACTGGCTTATTGTCATTATGAACAGTTTCGAAACTGGCGCTTGGCTAATATCTAGACCACAGAAGGCGATATGATGTAAGCTGAAAGTCAAACGGTAGCCTTAAATAATCTACACTAAAAGAAAATAATTCCTTACAAATATATCTAATGAATTTGTTCAATTAATAACTTTGTATTATTATATCTTGACTTTATATGAAACTTTTCTGTATTATTAGGAAAGGTGTAATTCTATTTCTCACATAAACACAGATATAACCAACGCAGGAACGTGGAAACGTCATCGACCGCTCAAGTTCATCGCTGTGTTATGCGGCGAATCGTAACCGGTGTTACGTAAGAGAAAGCGAAGAAAGGCCGACCGCCTAGTTAGTTACGTGGCCGTTACCGCTGGTTATGCAGTAAAAAGTGCTTTCTCGCGGCAACTCGGCCACGGGCACTGTGTCAAGTGCGCGACGAAAGTATAGCGTTGTCGCTCCGCGACAGACCGTTACATTATATCCGACTGGAGAAAGCGCGGGTCATCAACACTTCTCTCCAACTTGCCTCTTTTCATGTCATCGTTCCGAGTAGGCATCATTCGGGTTCACCGGAATAGTTCATTAGGTATTAGGAGAAAGCTGACGGACATGCAGCTTCCGCAGGCAAATTGCGACCGCGAGATTTATGCATTTTAGATGCCCTAATTCTATGAATAGGTCGTAAACAAGCTCCGCCATTTAACGCAAATGAGAATTGTTAGCCGCGGAGCGGAGGTTGATTGTCGGAGCGAGACGCGACAAAGCACGGAGTGGCAACAGCGCGCCACCACGTGACCGCGCGCCTCTTGCGTAAGCATACGATGAGTGCCGCCGCTACTCTTCGCTTCAACTGCCTGCCTGATTGATCCAACTCTTGCCTGATCACTACCAACGCACGTTCTACGTATACGTCACCGACGCACGATTCCGTCGTACGTTTTATTAGACCTAATCGATGAATTAAGTACATCTTTCGACTAGGTGAAGTTAAATAAACTAACACACGAATTTTTATATGTTCACGATAAATGAATCGAAAGCTCTGATGTCCTAACTTAGCAGATCGTCGTGTGTAATGATAACATAAATAATAATAGCCCTTTTATGTGGAAGTGAAATAGAAAAACGATGAACAAGCGTTTGTCGTGAGAACTTGACCCAGTTGCGAGGCGCGGTGTATCGATTGCGAGCGGCCCGCGTCCCCGATGCGTCACACGCGCCCCCACTCACACAAGCACATTGTAAATTACTGGCCTGCCAGCACACAGTATGTGAAATCATTCGCAAAGCCTTAAAAGTTTAATCAAATGAAAATAACGCATAACATCGCAATGCAAATTCGCAAGCAGCGGTGTACACCGGGACTAGGTTAGAGGATGGCGGGACAGGATATTCATACTTATCTGGAAATTCACCTTTAAATACTTAAAGAACACGGTGTTCCTCGCCCAGTCGACCTGTGAGAATAGGTTTTGGTCCAGCACTTTGCACATTAATTCGAAGAGATCGACTTCGCACTGGTTGTAGGTTTGGCTCTGCAAGAGTCCAAAGAGTGAGTTCTGCCACTCGCGGTCGTCGATTGTCTGAACGAACTCGCGGATCATGGGGGAGACGCGGAGGGTCTCGGTGGTGGTGGGCTCGGTGCTGGAGGGCGTGGCGGCGGCGGTGGCGGGCGCGTCGAAGGCGAAGGCGTCGGGCGAGGCGGAGTGTGGCGAGTGCGCCTCCCACTTGTCATGCGCGGGCGGCGGCGGCGGCTGCGGCGGCTGCGGCGGCGCCAGCAGCGCCGGCCCTGGCGACGACTCCGGCGACGACGTCAGCGACGACACCTGCGGGATCTGGATCTCCTGTTTCACCGGCACCGACGCGTAGGGCGACCCGAACCCCAGCACGAGTCCGCCGTCGCCCAGCGATCCGCGCAACGTCTGCACGGCGATCTGACGCTGCCGCATCATCTGAAGCTTGCGGGCGCGGTCGCGCTTGTACATCGGACCGAACTTATTGCGACCACCGCGCATACGGTCGGCACGCACGGCTGCGACAAAACATTTACATCATTAATAAACCTTGACAATGGCGATACTATTAAATTGCGATCAGAAAAATATTAAATTACAGCCTGAGCACAGGTCTCCTTTCATTTCTGAGAGGGTATTTAGGTTCTGTCCTATAGTATAATTATAATAAATTAATGCTATATTTGAGTCACATGGTAATTTCAGTTCCAAATTTTTAGTAACTTAAAATTTTAGAAATGATTTAAGATAAAATATTTTAAATGGTTCTAAAATCGTTCAGGAATTTGGTCAGGTTCAGTGGTGGTCATAAAATTATTTACGGTTCATATTAAGCCAATAATATGCTTTTGCTATAATTTCAGTACACAATTTGTTTCTAAACATTATCTGATAGTATTGTAGATTATTCTTATGACTAATCTGTGTTATTATTAATAGTATAAAAATCTTGCCAAAATAATGTATCTTTTCGTTTTTCTACTTATTTAATGATAGGAATTTAGAAAGTTGTTGGAACACTGACTGGACAAATAATTAAGAACGAAAATATTATATTCCTTTTTCATAATTTTGAAAATAGAATGCGATGTTCCTCATTACACTTTCTTTATTTTTTCGCGCTATTATTTAATTTAATTAGATTACCAACGATTGTTACACCAGTAAAAATCTTAATTGCTTAAAACTTAGTATCTAGGACATAATGCACAATCACTTATAGGTAATCATCGCTTACACAATAAAACATTAAATGATAAGACTATAAACTAAAAGCTATATCTCTAAAATTGTTTTTTTTTTTTTATATTTTATTATTGTTGAGATTTGTTTTCGGCAATTCAAGTACGTAGTCTTCTTAATATACTATTTAAAACAAAATAAGGGCTATCCGAGTATTTTTATTTTGAGACCATTTTTGATGACTCTTAATACAGATAACGAATTTTATGAATTCCATTGCTCTCAAGTGTTAAAAGAGTTGAGACATAACGATAAGTGAAGTACTAGGCGATATTAGTCTTGAGGGCATGGTGAACATTTTTTATGTCTCACTTATCGTGAAACTGGTAGTTTTGTTTATTTTTCTTTTAACACAAGTCCACTGACTGCCACGGTTATTTTTGGAAATTAAACGTGTAATTTAATCATTTAACCTTAAAATACTAAGAATCCGACACCGTTTGGACAAAGCTTCAGCTACCAGAGCCGTAACAATGATCGAAGCTGGCCAGTCGCAACGTTCCGTGGCTTTACAGCTGGGATATTCGCGAAGGTCTATTCAAAACCTTTGGAACTGCTATCAAGAGACCTGGAGTCTATCAGGCCGTCGCGGCTCGGAATTCAAAGAATTCGTGCTACCACCGACTAGGAAGACCGATACGACGTGATCGTACTTTGACAGCGCGTGCATTACAGAACCGTTTACCCAGGACTACTGGTACCCACCCTTGTCGGTGACCAGACAATCAGAAATCGTTTGCACAAAAACAAGCAGCAACGTTAACAAAAACCTGTAACTGGCACTAAAGCGACCAGGACTCATCGTACAAATCAATTAAGGTTTGCACGTCAATATTTAGAATAGGGCATGGAGGAATGGAGGTGCTTTTCACGGATGAGTGTAAGGTGTAGTTTTTTTTTTGTGAATATAGACGTATGAGAGTCTGGAGAGGAAGCAGAGAAAGATTTTCTGATCCTTGCATTCACGAAGCGACAGGTACGGTTGTCCTAATGTAATGTCTGAGGCGGGGTCAGCTTACAAGGTAAAACTGACGTTGTTTTTCTTTCTTAGTTACTGAAAAGGTGCTAGGAAGAGTTCCCGTCCTGGATCCTAGGATCCTGGTAGGAAAACATCCGCCATCTTGTTGAGAGCATGAAAGCATGGCTCCAAGAATGTGTTTTTAAAAAAGAAGGACATACCCGTTTATAGTCACAACAAAAATAACAACAAAGCGCGTACAGACATTTTTAATTTAACTACATTATATTTAACTAAAAAACATTGTTTTATTGAATTTAAAAACATCCGAGCACATTATTCCTGACCAAAAATAAATAAATCGGAAAATTTGTGGTGGCCCTTATTTTGTTTTGAGTAGTAGAATGGTAAGGACAAAGATAAAGATTTCCAAATGTGGCGACCTCGAAAGATCCAAGCGCAAGCGCACGCTGTATCTCATAAATTTGTTAACGCGATCGCTCAACCCGATTCCGACACGCGCCCGTCCAAATGACACTTTTAAATTGACTCGCTACACTGCACGACGAATAAATTTTACCTTTAATTTTTATATACTTAAGCAAGAAAAATGAGCTTAAGTACTAAGAGCGCTAGAAACATGTTGTATATAATTTACGATCTATCTACGTGACTGGTGTGATGCGATTGAGATATGAATAGAATAGAATAGAATATATTAATATAATTCAACCTCTTTTCTTTAACAATTATAAATAATGTATTCACCTAAAGAATTTACCTTAAAAAATTTGCAGTTATGGATATTTTAGGATTTAAAATTGTCTAAAAAAAATTTAATTATTTGAAGTGCAATGATAGCGTTACTGAAATAGTTTATAGGTAACAATATTGTTAGATTTTAAATTTCATGTTTGAGTTATCTATTTATTAAGTACCTAATTAATGTGAGGTGACCGGTGACTGAAAGCTCAATGATAATGTTGCCGATGCGACGTTTCGAATGCTATATATGCGAGTATAGTTGAAGTTTATAAGGTACCAAAGCATGCAATAACATCCTTCTTGATTCGTGTAGGTAAACTACTTCAATGTTATTTCAATAAATATTTAATATTGCAGGATTGAAATTTAGGACAGCGGCCTCATAATTAATGTTGCCAGGTCCAGTGGCTCAAATTTAGGGACGGAAGGTAAAAATAATCGGGAATTTGGATTTTACATTGGAACAGCTACAAAAACAAAACTGCTTTATTGTAGCCATTTTGGCCATCATGAGTTATGCTAAAGTATTTTGATACAATGCGCAATGTGTTTTACAATTATTATTGGAGATTGATCTAATGAACGAATAATTTTTTGTCCAAACATAGGAAAAAAGGTGTTCTTTCTTTTTCGGTGAATTAAAACTTGTTGTACAATTTGTTTTCGTGGCCGACTCATAGCAATCTAATTCTATTTATTTTTTTATTTAAACTTAACATAAAAGCCGACTTCAAAGAACAAAAGTCGGGGCTTTAATTACTCTATGTACTATATTTTAGCGCAGACTTCAGAATGTGGAATTATTTTATACTCTTTAGTACTTCATCACCTATTTTTCCATCTTTTGGGGTGAAATTTTTTCTCCAAATTAGACGAAAAGGACATTTTTGTAGTACGATATAACCCATTTAATAAAATAAAAATCGTTTTCTGTGTGTTACGCGATAAAAGCTTCGCCAATTAGGTTCATAATTGGCGATGCTTTTATCGCATAACATGCAAAAAACATAGGCGAAAAGGAGAAGTTTTTGAACTCGGCTAATAAGTAATAAATCTTACGAACTCACAATGCATGTATATGCAAAAAAAAAACATCAAAAACAGTAATACTAATACATATAATAAAAAGCACACATTCATTCATAATCAAATTATAACCCCTAAAGCTGAGATGAAATTGTGCCTCCACACGCATGAATATCACTTTATTAAAGAAATTGACTAATACTAGAACTTAACCACAAGACGTATGTATTTTACTAAATTTACTTAAAGATCAGTCAGTGTCACTCTAAGATCAGCCTCCTAGCTGACTTAGCAGTCAGCCATCGTAGAGTCTATATCACCTGAGGATGCCTCGTGTAGAGGCGAAACACGTGTCGTATTATCGTCGATGGTGTGTCTTTCCTAGAATAGTGGTGTTGGGAGTAGTGGCGTTCGGAGTATTGGTGCTGGGATTGGTGGTGACGGGATTAGAGCACGCAATTGAGGGAGGGCGGGAGGTGCTCTTCAAACTAGGTAAGACATATCATTTTATTTTATTGAGCGAATGGTTGCAAAGTAACTTATCAATTAAATTTACTTATCTAAACAGCAGCGTGTAAGTCAGATACTGTATTAATACTAATTACTAGCAAAGGAATGAAAAAATAAATGATCGTCGAATTGATAACGCGACGTGTCGAAGGTCTGTTAAGCTGGAATGGTCATTTGGGCAAAATCACTTCATTTTTGCTAAATATTTAGTGCTCATTTAGTGCTAATTTAGTGCTGCAAATTTAAATTTCACGCCAAAATAGCTTGATCAAAAATTAGAAAACTGCTAGCTTTTAATTAAGCTAGCAGTGTTCTACCTATTAAATCGATAATTATTGATGCTTCTATTTGTTGCTGTATTAAGTGCTTATCGATTTAATAGGTAGAACACTGCTAGCTTAATTAAAAGCTAGCAGTTTTCTAATTTTTGATAAAGCTATTTTGGCGTGAAATTTAAATTTGCAGCACTAAATTAGCACTAAATGAACACTAAATTATTATCTTATATCATTAGGTGAGAATCCACTTGGATGTCAATGTTTCATCACATACTCTGCTAAAGATGTCAAGGTAGCAGTTTACGGTATTTAAAAATAATAATTTCCCAAATCCTTTTTCGTATACCGACAGCACTAAATGAGCACTAATTTATTATCTTATATAATTAGGTGATAGCCCACTCTGATGTCAATTTTTTCATTACATGCTCTGCTAAAGATGTCAAAGTAGCAGAGTTTATGAAAATAAAAATAAAAAATATTTTCCCAAGTTTTGTTTTTGCGTACATCGACAGCACTAAATAAGCACTAAATTATTATCTTATATCATTAGGTGAGAATCCACTTGGATGTCAAGGTATCATCACATACTCTGCTAAAGATGTCAAAGTAGCAGAATTTATGATATTAAAAAATATATATTTTCCCAATATTTGTTTTTGTGTATATCGGCAGCACTAAATAAGCACTAAATTATTGATGCTTCTATTTGTTGCTGTATTAAGTGCTTATCGATTTA